CCGCTCCGGCCCCGGCCGGGGGAGCGGGCGTGGGGCGCCCCTGGGCCGCCGCGGCCCCCGCTCAGGCCCTGTCCCCCCTTCCCTCCCCTGCAGCGCTGGCCAGGATGTACAAAAACGAAGGGAACGAGTACTTCAGGGAGCGGGACTACAGGAGAGCTGTCATCGCCTACTCCGAGGGGCTGAAGAAGAAGTGCGAGGAGCCGGAGCTGCAGGCGGTGCTGCACACCAACCGGGGGGCCGCGCAGTTTCACCTGGGTAGCCCCGACGGGGCTGGGAAGGGGGCTCTGCGGTCCAAAATTGCTCTTCCTCCCCACTTTGGGTTTTCTTTTTCTTTACTTTTTTTTTTTTTTGTGATACAGCATGCTAAATAGCTTATTAATGAGAAAAAGCCACCTTGAATCCTGAAGACCTGGCTCACTTCGAAGCGTGGCTGCGTGCAGGGTTTGTGCTTTGTTCATTGCAGCTGTTGCTTGCTGCTCAAGCCTTGGCTCCAGGAGAGGGCAAAACCAGTGGTTTTTGATGCTGAACAGATTCACAGGGTGATTGGAACTACAGGGGGATGCCCCAGCCTCAAAAATCTGTTGAAGCAACATATTCTATCGCTCTTTCCTGGCTGTGTTGTCCTCAAGCTACCACCAACAGCATCCGTGCAGCAGGGAAGGTGTTCTTGGCCGTCTGAGGCTGTTGTGTGTTGCAGCTGGGAGATGGTTTGCTCACAGTCATGTTACTTGCTTCTCACCTGTGTGACTGATTCCTGTCCTTTCACTTCTTGCTCTTGATTTGCTTTTTCTTCTTCCACTCACCTCGCAGTGGTTGTAGAAACAGTGAATTCCAGAGTCTCCACATAAGCTATTTTGTCACCTTGGGATCTTCTTGGATTTTAAATGAAAGGTTCTGAGCAGTTTTGCTTGCTTTATAGGTAATTACCGTTCTGCTCTCAATGATGCCATCCAAGCAAAAAAACTAAAGCCCACCCATCTCAAAGCGATCATAAGAGGTAAGAGCTAAAGCACATGTTACTGCATGGAGTGCAAGGAACATGGTTTCAGAACAGCTTTGCACGTGTTAGTTTTACTTATTATGCTGTTATTGTTACAAGCCCTGGAACAGACTGTTGTTAGATGTTGCTTTGTTTCGCTGCATGTTTCTGTGTGTTAAATAGCAGTGGTTATAAACGTTAAATTACTGTGTGCATGCATCGTACTTTGTTTCTGGACAGCATTCATGTCAGAAAAGTAAAGTGGTCACCCTATGAGATTTTTTCTCTTGTTTTGTTATTGCTGTTTCTCCCCAAAACAGAAGTCTGCTTTTGCTTTGTTTTTTCAGTCAAAACACTAGCTTTCTGCTCTTTGCTCTTCAGCTTCTATGTCTGTCAAAGAGGCATTGGACCTGTTTCTGTAGAGCACAGCATAACTTTTGCTGTTTTCCACAATACTAGTTTTGGGGGTTTGTTCCCCCCCCCCCCAGCATTTCTCACTCCATGGAAATGCCTGCTTTATTTTTCCTTATGAGACAAATACTGATATGTTAATTATAATTTTGCTTGTAACAGACACTTCTAGCATCACTCTGCTGATTTCTGTGACTAGATGAGCAAATGATATAAGAACTGCTGAAATCTTTTAGATTTTCTTCTCAGCTGAACAGAACTGCTGGAAGCCTACGATTGAACATGACCGTGCAAGACACAGCGTGCGCTGCTGTATATGCCTCTTGAAAGCACTAGGGCTGATGGTGTCTTTATAACCACCACTTTGTGTGGTAGCTGTATAATGACTCCAATACTAGCAACTTAAAATCTTAATCCTTCCAGGAGCTCTCTGTCACATGGAGCTAAAGAATTTCTCTGAAGCCATAGCATGGTGTGAGGAGGGCTTGCGAATAGATTCAAAAGAGAAAAAGCTTGTGGAAATGAGAGCTAAAGCTGACAAATTAAAGGTAAATATTAAGGCAGTCTAGCGTCTACAATGCTTGTCGCCTGCTTTGTGTCAAGAAGCTCTTTGGGATCCTTGGTTGAAGAGTGCTCCGTACAAGTTTCTGTGTAGTATAATGTCCCCACACAGAACTGAGTGGTGGTTCCACATAGTGTGTTTTGTTGAGATGCGTAGGGGAAAGAGCTGGAGGGGACCCTTCTGGAGATCTGAGCTGATTTCTCCACTCACTGGCAGAGTAGAGCAGTGATGGGCATTGACTTGCTGTGTGTGACCATGGTGCAACCTTTTCTTACATGTAGCGAGCTGAGGAGCGGGATGCAAGGAAAGCAAAGATGATGGAGAAGAAAGAGCAGCGTCAAAAGGAAATTTTGCTTGCAGCAATAAAGGTGGGTCAGTGAGGGGGTTTGGTTTTGTGTGGTTTGTTTTGTTGTTTTTTTAAGAGCTCTCTTGTTTGTCTCTAAGAGGTTGTTCTCATACGCAGGCTTTTGAAGGGCTAGAGCCAAAAAATTGAGTTAAAACCATGATTCTCCTTATCTGCGTGGCTCTAGCCCCAGCTCCCACGTGTCCATATTTCAGGTAACAACTAATGCAAAATACAAACCCAGTGTTAGGCGATGGACTGAGCATCCAAGAGAGTGCTCTCACTGCTGGGCTGTAGCATCACACTGGCCCAATGAACCTTGCTTTCGTTGCCACTGATGGGCTTTACTTCAGTGGAAGGATAGAAGATACCCATCCGCTAGGGTGGAGGAATCAATGCTGGATCCTCTCCTTCCTCGGCAAATGTTTGGGCTATGTTAAAATATTTTGGGCTATTATATGAACCCAACCTCCTCTTCTGCAGTTGTCTTTCCAAAGAAAAGAGTGAGCTTCAGTTTTCTGAAAGAGTGGATGTTCTCAGGCGCTGGTGCATGTAGTTGCACCCTGAAGTTATGCCTGCTAGGTTCCAAAGAACAGGATTTCGGATGCATCCCTTTCCCCACATTTTCTCAGGCTCTTCTCTCAGCATGCGTGCTCCTCTGGATTCCCACTTCTCCTCATCCATTTTATGAGGAGTCTGGGTGTCTGGCTGAGCTTCTGGATTCTACTGGGAAGACCGCTCACCTGAGTCTGATAGCATAGGAAGGCTTTTGATGGCACGTTTAAGAGCTGACTAATTAATAAGAATGGCATGATTTGTCCTTTTACTGACTGCTAATTTTTTGCTCTTATTCTCCCCACCATACCTGTTTGGTTTTTGGTTGGGTTTGGTTCCCCCCCCCCCAGGAAAGAAATATCAAGCTGGTTCTTGAGCCTTCAAATGAAGAAAAGGAAATATCGGATGGCCTGGCTGAGGTATCCTTAGATGGGTTCCACTCTGACAATGCCACGGGGGCAAAGGTGCACTTAGATGCTGATGGCAACCTGAACTGGCCTGTTCTCTTTCTGTACCCTGAGCACGAGCAAACAGACTTCATTGCGGCTTTTCATGAGAACTCCAGGTAAATGCACTGTCGGCAGTGTCCTTGCGTAAAGGAGATGTTTGAGTAGATGAGAACAGACAGCAAGTGAAACACCGCCATGCTCGTGAAGTAGTTCCAGATTTCTAACCTCATAGCTGACCCTGCTTTTGAGCAGGAGGTTGCACTAGATGACCTCCTGATGTCCTTTCCAACTTGAATTATTCTATGATTTACAAATGCTGCTTTAAAATATGAGGGCCAAAATCTCAACATTTATTTATTTAAACGTTTTTATTTTAACGTTTTATTTTAATGTTTAAATTTATAGCGCAGAGAAACACATATTTAGCCAGTGTGATTAAAGGAGCTTGCAGTGCAAGCTTAGACCAGTGGCCAGTAATACCAGTGACCCGTCTGCATGCATGGATTGTAGAGGTTCATTAAGGTGCTGTTTCGAAGCCCTCCAAATATGGGATCTAGGAAAGAAGATTAAACTTAAAAATTATAAAAAACTTCCAAAAGGGGACCTCTCGTAACCACCAGCGAACCCAGTTTTCCTTAGGGCTTACAGCAGGCCTGACTGAAGTGCTGCAGACCTTTCAGACTATAAGCAAGTGACTGGCAAGGTGGGAATTCCACTTTTCTTGATGTTAACTTCGATTTCTGATCTTGCAATGTTAAACAAACTTGGAATTTGTAACTTTTTTTTTTGTGGGGAGATATGTATTCCTCAGATCTATTAATAAGTTAAGGACTTAAAATTACAGTGCAAGCAGATTAATAAAGCTGTGGTTCTGATACAGTAGTGTTCACTACGCCTTTTCATGGCCAAAGGAAGTGAAAATGGATTCTTAGAACAAATTGGCCACCAGCACTCCTGAAGTACCAAAATAAACAAGCCTCTGACACACAAGCATATTCTGAGCACTCTGATCTGATGAAGTGTGGTGCTGGTGGGACCATGTAGAAGGAAAATCAATTTTAGATGAAATGCAGGGTGTTTATTTTGACATCTTTTTCAGTGTGAAAATGAAAAGTTAAAAATAATTTGCCGTTGCACTGCTCAAGTTTGAAAGCATGAGTTACAACAGGGCATCGGTCTCACTGGGAAGGCAGTGAGTTTGAAGGGAAGAAACTATTCGTGATCTAAACTTACTTTCAACTCATTCGCTAATGTATTTTTACCATCATTCAAATGCAACTGTATGAATTACTGAAGCTGAACACTTCATCTAAGCTAACCAAGTGTATTTTGGCTTTTAGGTTTATTGATCATTTAATGGTGATGTTTGCTGAGTTACCTCCTTGGGATTTAGAAAGAAAATACCTTCCCAGCAATCTTGAGGTGAGAAGTTTGACTTTCCTTCTATTTCAGGGTTGTCTGTTGTGTTTTGCTTGGGTTTTTTTGTTTTTGTTTTTGTTTTTTTTTTCTGGAGTGAGATTGAGCAGCTTTGAGCATATGAAAGCAATGGCATTGTTACCTGCTTACCATACACGGATGGGAAATAAGGATTTGGAGAGCTACGTTCATTTATTAACTCAAACATTTTCCAGCTGTGCTGACATGGACACAGAATTCATTAATGAAAATTGAAGTTCTTTTGTCTTCCACTTACATTGTATTTGATAGAAGGGGTTTATAGATATTGCTTGGATTCCCATCTTTGTAACGATAATTAAGATTTAGAGCATCAAGCTGATAGGCTACCAGGTTTTTAACTGTGTTGTTGTGAAGTTGTTCAATACAAATGAGAAAATATTTTTTTAAAAAAAAGGTTATTTTCAGATCTAACTGGTGGTGCTTAAACACTTAATCCCATCAAGACAATATATGTCTGTTAAGGCTTTAGCTCATGTGGGATGCGAGTTGGTTGTGGCTATGGCAGGTTTGGAGAATATTTCAGAAATTGTACATAGAAGGATACAGATGTTTGTCTTTCCTTTTCCACTTCAGTGTCACACTTGCCAGGCAACAGCACTTCCCTTAGTGCAGTGAGCAGGCAGGTCCAAAAGTACAGTGGCTGTGTACTTTACCAGGTTAAAAACTGGGATTGTAGCTCTGTGTATATGTACAGTCTAAGGCACAGTTGCTGGATTCAAATCTCTTAAATCTGCTCTGTTTTGTTCAAATATCTCTTAAACTTGCTCAGTTTAGCTCATACCATTGCTGCATTTCACCTGTTAAAAAGCAGCCCATAGATTGGGATTGCTTCTCCGTAAAGCACAGGAACAGTCAATGTATTTTGCCTTCCTGCTGCCACTGCCATAAGAAGCTAAGCAGGTTTATACAGGGAAGACTTGGAATTTACACAAAACAGTTTCTACATTGCTGAAGTTGGCATCTGACACAGTCAGTTCAAGGTACAGAAGTTTGATAAACCTCTAGTCAATATATGGTGTGCTGTTACTGGACTTTCAACAGCTTAGTAGTTTGCCTTCATGTATCTTAAGTATTTAATAACCCTCCCAAATTTTTTCAGCTCTATTTTGAAGATGAAGAAAGAGCAGAAATGTATGAGCTGAACCCAGAACACACGTTGCTACAAGTGCTGCAGCACCAAAGGTGAGGCTGTACCTGTTCATGTCCAGAGAGAGCACGAAGGCAAAAAGTACGAGTTTTGGGCTTTAAGTGCAGTTTGTTCTCTGATTTAATCACCCTAATTCTTGGTGTATCTAAGTGGGGAAGGTGTGAAGCAGTGGGACTGCATGGATTTTGTCCCTGGCTTTAGCGACTTACATATTTCCCCACCCCTCACCCCCCCCCCCCCCAAAAAAAAAAAAAAAAATGACTCTTTCCAGGACTGGATGGAGTTGGGCTACACACAAGCAGCAGCACAAAAGGGATGTTTCAGATTCTGTCTGCACAGTGCTACTTTAGAAAAAAAAAAAGGCAGCAGCATATAAAGAGAGCATGTTGAAGGTTAACGATGCTCTCACTGTTAATGATGCTGCGTGAGCAGCCCCCAACACAGCATGCAGCACCATTTCACTCTGAAACTGACTTTAAAGTGTTACACAGTTATTTAGAGAGAAGAATTTGCTGTTTGTGAAGCCGAAAAGTTATTGTAAAGCCTGTGCTGTTAACTTGCACCATCTTGTAGCTAGCTGGAGAAAGCCTGCTGCACAGCACTAGTGGCATGGTCTGTCGCAGTGGGAGCAGAGCTCTAGGTCGACTGCTGTGGGCTATGTCTGAACTGTCACTCCATAAAACTCAGTGGCATGCATAAGCCCTCCGATTTCAGGCTGTAAGGGCAGTTGCAAAAGAAACCTCCTTCCAGAGGGAGAATAACAGCTGTTTTAATTAGAAGTAGCTGTTGGGAGAAGAGTTGATTCATAAAACACTCTTCCTTGGATGTGTGTAGCCCTGGGTACAAAAGGCTCTGCCAGTCAGCAAAAAAGCCTGTCAGTGGCCTTGGGGAGGTCAGTCTTTATTGAGCTGGGTGGAAGTCACTCACTTTGCATGATGCTTGGCCAGCTACAAGGAAGCCAAAGGACTCCTTCTAATCTTTGCAGGTATTTTGTAAAGGCTGGGACTCCGACAGTTTTGGCATTTGTAAAGCGTTCTCCTTTCTCTACGAAGTACTTCTCTGGCAAGAAGGTGCATCGACTATAATGAGCAAGAACGAAATGAGGAATCCTGTGCAAGAGGCTGCTGTTTGTTATCCCAGCTACAGACTGCAAACTTCTGCTTGAACAAAAATACCTTGCACGCTTCAGGGGAGAAATAATCTTGGCACACAGGGAAACTTACAGGAAAGCAGCATAAGAGAATGAAGGGTTACAAAAGAGGATTATTTGTTTAAACAGAAATCCAGCTGGCTTGCAGAAGGTGTCCTCTTTGATAGGCTGCATGTGGTTTTGAAATAAACGTGAAGCAGTGCCAAACACTGGCTGCAGTTGAAGCAACAGCAGCTGGGAATGTACTTACTTACCTGTGAAAAATCACTGATTTCCTTGGAGGTGGGCTGTAGTTGCTGGGGTTTAACAGCAGTGGTCTGGGGAGATTCCTGCCTGCTGCAGCGGGATGGATGCAGTCAGATTCCTGCCTGGGATTAAGCAGCTGCTGTTTTTTCACCGCTTGGCTCTGCTGCTGGCCAGGGTAAAGCAGAGCTCTTTGTTCGGGGCAGTGTGTTTTACTGACCCTTTTCCTACCTTACTGATTGTCCTATATAACCTGGAAATAAACATGTCTATTTTAAGTAGAATGACTTCTGCCTAATAAATGAAACCATTTTTCTCACCTCATGAAATACTACAAGAGAATGACAAACAGTAATTCTAAACCCAAACATAACAACATTATCCATTACACTAACCAGTAAAGCCAACATACGGGGTCTTCTGTGTATCTGTATTAGCTTTCAGCATTTAATTAAAAGTAATTCGAAATCTCTCATTTCTTTCTCTTCTGCACTCTCTCAGTGACTGCAGAAATACACTGCAGTTTTAGACATGCCTAGCGCACAGGGCATTAAAAAGCTGTTCAGCCATAAACACTTTTGCTTAGATCATGGAGGATTTTTCTCGCTCCAGAGCTGGATTCAGACAGCTCTAAAGCAAGCATTTCCATTTTGCTATTCCTGAATTTCTGCACCATGCACAAATACAGTTAAAAGTATATCTCCATCTAATGATGCTGAAATTTAATCTCCGAAGCTTTAGGGTTACTTTACAAGGAGGCAGCAGGATGGCTCCCTTTTCCCAGAGCGTTGGCTCTGGCCAGCTAGCCCTTGCCTTGCAGCGTCCCGCTCTCACAGGGCAGAGAGACGGGCAGCCAAGTAGTACAAGCTCAAGCCGTTGCAGGCGATGCAGCAGAGGTTGCAGAGGGAGGACAGGGCATGGTAGAGGGTGAGCTGGCCGGAAAGCTGCCGGTAGCTGGGGTTGGAGGCACGCAGCTGCTTGCAGGACTTGCTGGTGAACAGCCCGACCTCCTGGCCGAGGCCGTGGCTGCGCTCGATGAGGTGCATGTCTGCCACGATGTCGGAGGTGGCCTGCCCAAACCACTGTGTGTTCAGCACAGAAGCAGCGACACAGACGAAGAAGACGATGATCTACGGGGGAGCAACACCCGCTGTGAACATCTCGCGCATGTGGTGGATTAAATTTCTCCCCCAGCCCCGCTTACACACACGGCTCGCTGCAGTCTGGATGCTAACTGGTTTCTTTTAACCAGAGCCATGTGTGGACCTCGTCATCGTTTGCAAACCAGCCTCAGCGGAGCAGAGCAGACCGGGACCCTGCAGAGGAAGGGATCTGAGCTACAGCCAGCTCGTGTTTTAAAGCGGGAGGCTACCTGGATCGTTTGTTCATCGCTGAGCATCTCGCTGGGGTGGTACATGGCAAATAGAGTCAGGTTGAGGAAGGCACAAGCGGAGCCAATGTGGAAGTAGTAGGGGAAAAGCTCGTGCTGGATGAAGCCGTAGGTGTGGCGAGGGAGGCGGCTGCCCATCACGAACCCTGCAAGGGGGGAGAGCAGGTAGGTCCCGGGGCAAAGCCCCCTCCCCTGGGCCTCCCCCCAGGCAGAGAGCCACAGCAGTGTGCACAGACCACAACCTACCAGCCACGAAGGTCACCCAGATCTGCATTCCCCAGGAGGTGGAGAGGAAAACCAGGTGCAGCAGTTTGACGGTGTTGGAGGGCTCCGTGTCAGTCGGCATGGTTTCCCGGCCGGGGATGGGTCCCTCCATGTCGGCCAAGCTGCCCCTAATTCAGCACTGAGCTGCTGTTACTGCTGTCACCTTGCTGGATCCAGCAAATGCAGTTTAGCTTCACAAGTCCGCTTACTCAGAAAGAGCTTTGGAGCTGGCACAGCCCCTTCCCAGCCCCACCACCATGCACCCAACCGGGCTGTGAATCCAGTTCTCAGACCCCTTATATCTTAGGGGCAGGGCACTGCGTCAGCACCTGGTAACCGGCCATTTCGGGTGGACTTTCGGCAAAGTCCAGCCAAAGCCCCGTCTGACCCCTGGCAGCAG